TTGCGAGCCGTGAAGGTCCATTCCCAGGGGGGGCACCTCCTGCTAGGATAACGTCCATGCTGAAGTGTCCACGCCCTGCAGCCGTTGCCGAAAGTTCGACGCGATGACGTTGAAGTCGATGCCCAGCTGCGCGACCGCCGCAGGAAACCAAGCCAGCTTGGTAGGTTACTGGGATGGTGTCAGCACTGGTGATGCCCCGAGACCGTTGGAGGCGCCATCCCAGTTGTCGATGTGCCTGTTGAAGAAGCCCCAGAAGTCGCTTGGCATGAAATTATGTCCTGGCCTGCTTGGGGCTGTTGCCTGCGCTGATGTATATGATGTCGCCGCCTCCAGCAATGGTGGCAGCAAGCGCATCCAGGCGTCTCCAGGGAGCTGTAGTGCTTGGGCCAGTGAAACGGCGCGAGCAATCCCAGGAGCACCACCAGGCAGCTGAAGGTAGTAGAGCTTCCCAAGCGACTGAATTTGGATCTTCGTGTTGGACTGGTCAACGCTGGCATCCGCAAGCCATGCTGCGTGTCGCGCATGCAATTGTGGGCCATACCCATTATGCCAAAGATCTCGTGCCTGACGTCGCCGATCTGCTTGGCGAAGGCCTCGGAGACCGCTGATCCGATGTTGTCCGCCGACACTCCCATGTGGGGGCCAGGGCCAGCAGGACACCATGGATCACCTGACCCTTGAAGAGGATCACGAACAGCACGGTGTTTGCGTTGGGGAATTCCATGATCAGGGGAAGTGGCTGCCATGGCATGATCACGAGCGAGCTGTTGTTGCTCGGCAGCAGACATAGCAGCCGATGGACCTGCAGCACCTGCTCCACGATGGCCACCAGGCAGGGCCACAGGAGGAGCGACAGCAGCATCACGCGAGTGTCGCGGCCCGTCACTGCTGCTGCGAAACGACGCGGGTGTGTGATCACGCCGTCTGCGATCGCGATCGCGGTCTTGCCACCTCTGGCGGTGTCGTCGATCGCGGTGCGCAGAGCCGCGGTCGCTGCGAGATGCGGATCCACCATCGCTGGGCCCACGCGGCACTCGAGACTGAAGGGAGCAGAAGTACTGGAAGGACGGTGGTGCTCGGAAAGCGGGAGCACCCAGCCTGAGTGTGGGCTGCTGGTGTGCACCCACGGCGCCGCTGAGCCAGGCTGGCGACGGCGCTCAGGCCCCCTTTGGACCCACGACGGGGTCCAAAACGGACATGAGCCAAAATGGCTACGGAGGAGGAGGAGAAGGAGAAGGAGGGTGGGGGGAGAAGAGGAGAGGGAGGAGGAGGAGCCTACGATACTCGTGGACTGGCATGGCTGCGGACGATGGCCGCGGCGGCTTTCTGGAACCACTGATTGCTGCGTCGGCACGTGTGGGAACCAAAAAGCGAAAGCTGGCGAGTCTGGAGGGCGTTCCCGAACGCTCTGAGAGCGCCGCGTGGCCGACGCTCTGGACGCTCTGGAGCGTTTGCCAGTTCGGCTGGGCCAGCTAGAGAGCTCACCTTGGCATCCACTGGGAAACTCCCCCATGCCCCTCCTCGGCGGCCTCCGCGTCGATCCCCGTGGATCGGAGATCTCTCTGAGCACCCGCGAGCCCGGAGGACGTGGCGGGCGCCGCGGCCGCTCCCCGGGGCGGTCCGGAGCGGTCTGGGAGCGCTGCCTGCGCGCTGGAGCGGCGTATCCCGACCCCACGCCCGCCTGGCTGCCCCCCTGGGGAGGTGCGCGGGGCCGGGGCCCCCTGGGAGCCTCCGCAGGGAGGCCGCGCAGGGAGCGCACAGCAGCGCCACCACCCACCCACCCACCCACCCACCCACCCACACACACACACACACACACACATGCACACGCACACATGCACACGCACACGCACACGCACACACACACACACACACACACACACACACGCGCGCGCGCGTACACTCCCAGGCATGCTCGCGTCGAAAAACAAAAAAAACATGCGACGGGAGAGCCCTGATTATGTTTGGCCCCGTGGGGGCCGCCGCTGGGCCCCGGGACCGTCCAAACAGGCGACTCGGGATGGGAACCTGCTCCAAGGGGACGGGGTCGGGCCTTCCCGGGGCCCCGCACTGAACAAAAATCAAAACGCCGCCTGCCTGGGCCCAGCAGGGCCGAGCCAGAAACGCTCACCGCCCCCCTCCGGGACGCACTGACCCAGGCCGGTGCGAACCAGGCTCAGTCAGGCGTTGCAGCATCCCGCGAGATCCTGCAGGATCCTGCAGGATCCTGCACCCAAGCCAAGGTCGATGCACCCCTGGCTCTGCAGGATCCTGCAAGATCCAGCGCTCTGGCTGGCCCCCGTTTGCATTGACCCCGGTCTCTTGAACCCCGACCCCCTCGCGCTTTTCCTCTTCCGGCGAGGTTTGGCGGCGAGCGAGGGGGGGAAGTGAGAAGGATAAGGCCTCCTCAGAGGGCTCGGAAGTTCCCCAGCCTTCTGAGAGAAGTTCTCTGAGCCTTCCACGAAGACGCAAAAGACCTCTCAGAAGGCGCGAGGGCTTCTGAGAAGTCCCGCCGCCCTCTGAGAAGGCATTACAGTCGGGATTGACTGGAGAGGGCACGCGGGAGGACAGAAGACCATTCCGAGGGCCACATTGCCTCGATATTGTAGAAGGCATGTGTCGCGAACACACAGGACACCAGAGAACCCTTGGTTTGGTAGGGTCGACCTACCAATCCAGGCCGACTGTATCCTTCTCACTTCCCCCCCCCCCCTCGCTCGCCGCCGAAAGAAGCGCTCACCGCCCCCACGCGCTTTTCCTCCTCCGAAGAGGCGGCGGCGCCGCCGCGACGGCCCAACCAGGGCGCGCTCCAGCGAGCGAGCGGCCGCCAGGGCTGCGGCGGGGCGGGCGGCGGCCACGAGGGCTGGCGGGCAGGAGGGCCGCGGCGAGCCCCACCGCGGCCGCGCACCCGCCGCAGGGGGCGCGCACGCAGACGGCGACCCCAACCAAACGCACGAACACACGAGCCACAGACATATGCTGCTTACCTGGCCATCGCTCGGACGTCCACTCCCTGTGCGTTTTTCGGCGTCGTGCGTGGGTTTTTCGCCACATGATCAAGGATGCTCCCAGATTGCCCTCGCCGAAGGAAACATGCACACGTCCGAGCGATGCCAAGTTACAGTCATCGGCCTGACCTAGGGAACGATAAATTCGCCGGCCCAACGGGCCAGAGGCGTGCTAAGATCTCCGGTAACTGGTTAACAATTGTATTGTACTAGTTCGCGCGCGCGGGGCGGCCCCTGGGGGTCCCCCGGCGAAAAGTACCCCGCCCGCCGCCTGGGAAGGTCCCGCCCGGTTCAACTCAGAGATGGTTTTCCTTCTGGGTGCGGCCTCTCAGGCCGCCCTGAGCGCGCCAAGAGTGCCCCAAGAGGCCCCCAAGATTGCTCAAGAGGCCCCCGAGACGTTCAAAGAGCGCTCCAAGGCGCCGAAGATGACCCCAAGACGGCCCAAGAGACCCCCAAGACAGCCGAAGAGGCCTTCAAGACGCCCCAAGAGCCTTCCAAGAGGCCTCCGAAGAGGGCCCCAAGAGGCCAAAATCGTTGATTTTCATTGGTTTTTCCGATGTTTTTTGCGTTCTGGCTTTTTCGGCTTCCGGACGCTCCAAGACGACCCAAGAGGCGCCCAAGATCGCTCCAAGACGGCCCACGAAGCTCCCAAGACGGCCCCGAAACGGCCCAAGAGGGCCCCCAAGACGGCCCAAGTGCCGCCCAAGACGGACCAAGAGGCCCCAAGACGGGCCCAAGAGGGGCTCAAGAGGGATACAGAGAACTGAAAAATCGAGCCCTCCGCCCCAGAAGGCGCCCAGGAGGCCCCAAAAAGGCCCCAAGAGGCCCCCAAGAGGCCCCCAAGACGCCCCAAGAGGCGCCCAAGAGGCCCAAAAGAGGCCCCAAGAGGCCCCAAAACAGCCCCCAAGAGGCCCCAAAACTCGGCTAGCCCACAACGGTGCGACAATATGGGCCGGCGGAATGAGCGAAGCGATTAAATAAGGAACAAAGCCCCTTTCTTCCAAGGAATAACGCATAGGGAACGATGAACAAATAATACATAACGCATAAGGAACGACAAATAACGCATGCAAGCCTAAGGAACGACCGAGCCCCTTGTGAAAAGCAAGCGTTCCTTATATATTCAAGCCGCTCACGGTATAAGGAAGACCAGAGCGCAACAAAAATGCGACACGCAGAACGCCAGCCTGCTCCGCGCGATCCCCACCCGGGCCCGCGAGGCGGGCCGCCCGGAGAGCGCAACCAACCCGGCAGGCGCTGGGCCCGGCGGCCGCGGCACGCGGCCGCCCCTGCGCCGAGCAGCCGCGGGGGGCGGGATGCGCACCTGGAGAGCACAAGGCACGCGCTGGGCCTGGCGGTCGGGTGCGCGAGGCGGGTCGGTGAAGGGGAACTGGGACACACAAATAAATACACACAAATAAACACATCCCCTATATTTTCCCATATTTTCTGGGCTTTTGTCTCCCCCCCACTTCCCATATTTTCCTATATATTTTCTTGGAATCGCCGAGTAATTGTGTCTGTGTGTTTTGTCCCCTCCCGAGTCGGGCGCGCCCTGCTTCCGAATCTGGCCGCCGGCAGCCCCTGCAGCCTGTCGGGGGGGGGGATCCCTCCGAGCCCACGGGCGCCAGGTGGTCCAAGACGGTGAGACGCCGGCCAGCAAGCAGCGGTGTGCACCAGAGAAGCGAGCTGGGGCACGGAGGCGACAAGGGGTAAAGGGGGAGGGGGGGAGAGCAGTAGATCTTGCGTGCGAGCTGCGCACGAGCAGCGGGAGCCGAGGCCAGCTTGATGCGGAAGGCCTTGAAGGGGCACAGGGCGCCGAGAGGGGCCCCGAGCGAGATCAGCGGCAGGGCGGCGCAGTCCTGGTGAAGTGGAGCACGCGTCGAATTCGACTCAGCGAAACGGAGCCGAAGAGTATGTAGAGGTAGGCCTCGAAGAAGGGGCGAGGGAAACACTCCGCGTCGGGAGAGCGGCCCAAGGTGCGGGGCGCGCCCTGGTGGTAGTTCCAGCCGTGGGCCACGGACTTGTCGCACGAGTCGTCGTCGTTGTGGTAGTCCCCTCGCGGGGCGGCACGAGGAAGAGGAGGATGACGAGGAGGAGGACGAGGAGGAGGACGACGACGACGACGACGACGACGAGAACGAACCGACGACGGCGGCGACGGCGACGGCGACGCCGACGACAACGACGACGACGACAAAGACGGCGGCGGCGACGACGGGGACGACGACGACGACGACGACGACGACGACGACGACGACGACGACGACGACGAGGACGACGAGGACGACGACGACGAGAACGACAGGGCAAGAGTGCGCGCGGAGCGGCCGCTAAAACTGCAAGTGCTCGAAAGGGGGACCCTCTTAATTTTTTCCAAACAACCCTGTGATGGTTTGGGTCTTCGATTTCAAGAGACAGCACCCCGCGTCTCCCCTCCCGCTGCCCTTCCTCCCGCTGCCCCCCTCCTTCTTCCTGCTCCTGCTGCTGCGTTCCACACGTTCACCCCGTCGCACCCCGCACACGCTTCGTGGCCCCGCAGGGAGCTCCATCTGAGACCCCAGCGGCTGCGCTCGCATCCCTGGTCCACACCATGTCGGCGCACCCCTGAAACACTTCGTGGCCCCATAAGGAGCTCCACATGAGGCCTCAGTGGCTGCGTTTGCGTGCCTTCTCCACACTAGTTCAGCGCACCCATGGCACGCTTCGTGGCCCCATAGGGAGCTCCACCTGAGGCCCCAGTGGCCGTGGCTGCATCCGCATGCCTGGTCCACACCATGCCGGCACACCCCTGGCACGTTCCGTGGGCCCAAAGGGAGCTCCACCTGAGACCCCAGAGGCTACGGTCGCATGCCTTCTCCACTCAATCACGGCGCACCCACCACACTTTTCGTGGCCACATAGGGAGCTCCACCAGCTCCACCCGAGAGCCGAATGGCCTGCGTGTGCATGCTCTTGCCGCAACACTTCGGCGCACCCCTCACAAGCTTCGAGAACAATAGGAAGCTCCACCTGAGGCCCCTGTGGCTACATCCGCATGCCTGGTCCACACCATACCAGTCCAACCTTCTAACGCTTCTTGGCCCCATAGGGAGCTCCACCTGAGGCCCCAGTGGCTGCGTTCGCATCCCGGGTCCGGACGGTTGCGTGGACCCAGGGGAGCTCCACTTACGGCCCCAGTGGCTGCGTTCGCATGCCTTCTCCACATAATATCGGCGCACCCCTCACACGTTGCGTGGCCCCAAACGGACATCCAAAGAAAGCCCGTGTGGCTGCATCCGCATGCCTGGTCCACGCCGGTTCGACGCACCCATGACGCGTTTCGTTGCCCCATAAGGGGGCTTCACTGAAGACCCCAGCTGAAAGAATCGCATGCGTGACCGCGACAATTTCGACGCACCCATCACACATTTCGTGGCCTCACAGGGAGCCCCACCGAAGTCCCCAGTGACAAGAATCGCGTGCGTGACCGCGCCCATCAGCCGTGGCGACGTGGAGGAGGCCCAAGAAGGCGGAAACGATGAAAGGGCATTTGGTGTCGCTACCTTGTTATCTCCTTCTCAGGACCACGGAAGAGGAGGCGATCAAGACGACGACGGCGACCTCCTGGCATGCCCAGACGGTTCGGCAGCGGGCTCCCAAGACCCCCGACGCCATGATTATTGCTCACGATGCGGACACCTGGAGGTCTCGAGCCACTCCCCGGGAATGGCCTCTCATCCCAAGCCTTTTGAATGACGGCCCCGTGGCTCGGCGAGGGCCGAACATTGAGCAGGGACCGACCGCCCCGACATTTCTGTAGGCCTACCACGACATGTTCTTGGAACCCGAAAGTGTTCTAATCATAAAAACAGAGTTCTCAGCATATAAACCCGTTGCGTTAAAACAAGACGGACTCAGCCAGAAATGTTCTCAGAACATGTCGCGCAGACCACAAAAAGTTCTTAGAACATTCTTTGAAGGACCTTTAGGCGAGCCGGGACGCTTCGCCACTGCTTGAAAAAAGCCGACGCCTTGTGACTTGTTGCTTTCCTCGTCGTCGTGGCCATCCTCCGAAGCTTGGCGGTGAATCTTGGCGGCCGGCACGGGGCCATGCCCCTGAGCCGACGCCCTGCGCCCCCCCCCTTGCGTTCTCTTGCGTGCGCCGGCTGGGGGTGGAGGCCACGGCGCCCCCTACGCCGCCAAGGCCAGGGGCTTCCTCTTTCCTTCCCCTCGGTGGAGCAGCACCATCACTGCAAATCGTGATATGATAAGAACCTTCAGCCTAGGAAAACAAGCTCTACATGTCTCGTTTTCTCCACTAGTGGTCTAGCGCTTGGCAGCCAAAAACTATAAAGAAACATGCAGCAAGCAGGGTAAGGCCGCTGAAAGAAGAAACGGAAGGAGGGGGAAAGAGACGGCATTTAAACTTTAAGAGCATCTCCATACCCTGCCCTGGAATCCAGATGTCCTTCCACATGCTACGAAAACTTAGACTCGGATTTGGAAGCATCTTGTCTTCACAACACCAAAAAACATATGGGTGCGAGCCCACGAAAGGCAAGCCCGCGAGCGAGTCTGGTGAGGGGCACCAACAGGGGGGCGGCCGGCATAGAGGGGAAACATTGACCTGGAACCACGGATTCATCTCCGATGGGTCGGCGATAGGCCCCCAATAGCAGATCCGCACTTTTCTGGGCGGGGTGGGGCAATTAGACTTAGGTCGGGCATGTCCCCCTACAGGCGGATTTGGGAGGCAAAATGACACAGACTCAAAAACAAGCTCAACAATGGCCAAACAATACTAGAGCAATCGTCCCCAGACTATTTCCTGACTATTTTCGAATCTTCCTCTTGCAGGGGGGACACGCCCGACTTAATATTAGACCCCTATCGGCCCATCCATGGGCGATGGGGGTCGATGCGTCCCCCCTGTGTCTATCCCCCCTGACGTTGCCCCCGATCCTGCTCTGGGCCTTCGGCCGCGCGCAGGCGGAGGGCGCAGAGGCTTCCCAGATGGGGTCCGAGTAGAGTGGGTCGGAGGATCGCGCCGCATCGCCGACGCATCGGCGATGCATCGGCGATGCATCGGTGGTCTGGCCATCGCTCGGACGTCCATTCCCTGTGCTTTTGTCGGTTTCGTGCGTGGCTTCTTCGCCAAATGATTAAGGATGCTCCTCGATGGTCCTCGCCCAAGGAAAAATGCACACGTCCGAGCGATGCATCGGCGGTGCGTCGGCGACGCATCGGCGACGCCGGCGTGGACGAAAGCGGGCTCCACCTCGAGCCGCATCGCCGATGCAGCGGCGATGCGGCGCCATCCTCCGACCTCCTCTGCTCCGACCCCCTCTAGAGGGCCTACAGTCGGGGCGTTGACCTAAGGAACCCTAAATAAGGAGCGAGGCCCCTTGTTTCATAGGTGAAACTTCGATTGCCCATCGAAAACCTAAGGACAACCTAAGGAACACCTGACGCAAACTGCAAAACTATTAAGGAACACTGAGCCCTTCACCAACGAAAAGGGTTCCTTCTTCAGCGTCCCGACTGTAGAGGGCCTGGAGTCTGCGGCCGCGCGCCGGCGGCGGGCGGCAAGGGGGGCGACGGCAGCTGGCCTCGGTACTCGGGGTCTCCGGGGTCCAGCGTGCACACGCCCAGGGGGCCCAGGAGCCTCCCCGCTGCAGGGCCCGCGCCCCGCCGAGGAACCCAAGGAGAGGAGGAGAAGAAAGAGGAGGAGGAAGAGAAAGAAAGGAGGAGGAGGAGGAGGAGGAGAAGGAGAAAGGAGGAGGAGGAGGAGGAGGATGAGGAGGAGGAGGAGGAGGAGGAGGAGAGAGGAGGAGGAGGAGGAGGAGGGTGGAGGAGGAGGAGGAGGAGGAGGAGGAGGAGGAGAAGGAGGAGGAGGAGGAGGGGAGGAGGAGGAGAAGGAGGAGGGAGGAGGAGGAGGAGGAGGAGGAGGAGGAGGAGGAGGAGAAGGAAAGAGGAGGAGGAGGAGGAGGAGAAGGAGGAGGAAGAGGAGGAGGAGGAGTAGGAGGAGGAGGAGGAGGAGGAGGAGGAGGAGGAGGAGGAGGAGAGGAGGAGGAGGAGGAGGAGGAGGAGGAGGAGGAGGAGGAGGAGGAGGAGGAGGAGGAGGAGGAGGAGGAGGAGGAGGAGGAGGAGGAGGAGGGAAGGAGCTACAAACATTCTAGCCAAGGCGAGCCTCGGCCACGCACACCAGGTGGTCCCTGGCCCGCCCGGGCCGCGGGAGCGGCCCGAGAGAGCCCGAGCTCGGCCCCAGGCGGAGGCGGTCCTCTCATGCCAGCGCCTCGGCTGCGGGGAGCAGGCGAGGCGCCGCAGAGGTGCACCAGCGGCTCCTCCTCCTCCTCCGCCTCCTCCTCCTCTCTCTCATCTCATCATCTCATCCTCATCATCATCCTCACCTCATCCTCATCCTCATCCTCATCCTCCCCCTCCTCCTCTCCTCCTCCTCTCCTCCTCCTCCTCCTCCTCCTGCTGCGTGCTCGCGCGCGCGGCACCCCGACATCCTCGTGCTCACGCGGTGCTGGAGGTGCGCGACGTCGCTCGGTGCCGCACGAGCGGGTCTGGCGGAGCGACACCCTTGCATGGCCGCACGGCAGGGCCTCGGCGCCGAGGTGCACTCGGCGCGGAGCCGAAGGCGGCACAGAGCCAAGAGCAGCGAGGCGACCATCGAAGAGCTGGCCAGGCCAATCGGATGGAGTGCGCGGACATCAGGTGGCAGCCCTCGGGGGCACGGAGGAGCCAGAGGTCCCTACGACTGGGGCAGCACACGCGAGCGGCGGGAGGCCAGAACCAGGCCCAGCTGACAGACTGACGGATGGTGAGCTGCTGGCTTCGTTCGGCGTCGGCGGGTGGGCCAAGGCCGAGGCTGGGGGCAGGCGCGCTTTGGAGCGCCGCCGACGGCAAGCCTGACGGGATGCCCCGGCGAAGATGGATGCGCCCCAGCCCTGCATAAGGAGTTGTGCTCGTGCACTTCGGCAATCACAATCACCACCCTCATCACCATCGTCATCACCGATAGCTTCGTCACCGTCGCTGCCAACACCACCGCCATCGTCGCAGTCGTCACCAGCCATCGCCACCATCACCTGAGAATGTGCTGCCGGCACGCGTCGCGAACACATGGTCGCCGGCAAACCCGCCACGCATCGCCCTAATCCGCGCGGTCGGGGCTCCCACGCTGCTGCTCCTAGCACCCCCACCTCTCCGACACTGCCAGCAGCGCTCTCTTGGCTTTCAGCGGCGAGAACAGCTCCGGCGCCACCGCCATCGCGATGGGAAAGTTCGGCCGCAGCTGGTAGTCCTGCAGGCAGCAGGCCCAGGAACCCCCTAACACGAGGCCGTGACGAATCAATACGAAAAAACAAGGGTTTATTCAATCCTCCCTCTGAGGAAGCGGAAGAGGAGGAGGAGGAGGAGGAGGAGGAGGAGGAGGAGGAGGAGAGCAGGCTGCGAGCAGGCTGAGAAGCGCTGTCTGGGTAGATAGCGCCGCCCTGAAGGCCAGAGGTTCGACCCAAACGTGCCCATGGAATCGTGAGCGCACGCGTCAGCGCCGAGCGGGCATCGCGAGACACGCCCGCCGGAGGACACGGAGATTAAGACGGCGGGGAAGGTGAACAAGAGAAGGATTCTGTCCAGCACCCAGAACTAGGTCAGACTCGCCCGAACCGCGTGCACACGAGCAGAGCGCGGCGGGACAGGAGAAGAAGCCAGAGGGGAAGAGGGGGGAGGAGGAGGAGGAGGAGGAGGAGGAGGAGGAGGAGGAGGAGGAGGAGGAGGAGGACGAGGAGGAGGAGGAAGGCTGGAAGTAGGAGGAGGTGCTCTTGCCCGCGCAGCGTGCGCTCTGCTGCTAAGTGGAGGCTGTGCGTGTCCCGTTGCTGGCCCTCTGACTCAACACGCCTTCCTCGATGGCACGCCGAAGAAAATGAGGAGGAATAGCAGCAGGAATCGAATCAGGAGCAGAAGGTGAAAGAGAAGGGACTGGCCAAGGAGGAGCATCCGCCTCCTCCTCCTCCTCCTCCTCCTCCTCCCCCTCCTCCTCAATCCTCGCCCCCCTTTTCCATCTGCCTCTCCTCCTGGCATACAGGGACGGCGGCCCTGGCCGTAAGGCCTTCCTATGTGCACCCCATGTCACAGTCGCTTGATCAGAGCTTGCCCAACGGACTCGTCCCTGCGCTCACATCGGAGAGTTTGATTAGTAACACATTCAACTGGCTACTGCAGCAGTAAGCCTTCGAACGAGTGCATCGCCGAACGCTGGACAAGTCATCGGCAGCTTGGGCGAACTAATGAACAAGGACTCAGGAGACTGAACTCGGTTCCGACTGAGCTGATCCAGCAGCGCCGGGCCAACACATGGGATGCCATGGCTCTACTTGAGAGGTCCGCTGTGGACGGAGGTCACAGCGCTCCAAACGCAGGTACACAGCAGAGCGAACGAGAGTGAAGGTAAGGCTTTGATAGAGTGACCGAGCCCGAAGAGCTTTGATGAATCATACTCTGCACCTTCCTGCACTCCTGCTCCTCGTCCTCCTCCTCCCTCCCCCCTTCCTCCTTTCCCCTTTCCCCACACCCCTCGCCCTCATTCTCCCTCTGGCTCCTCCTCGCTGGGTCGGACGAGCAGGGCAGGCGGGAATCAGCAGAGGCGTGGGTGGGTCGTGAAGCAGCCCACGCATCTGTTGTTGGTTCCCACTCGCCGGGTCGGACGAGAAGGGAAGGCGGGAATCAGCAGAGGCTTGGGTGGGTCGGGCAGCAGCCCACGCATCTGTTGTTGGTTCCCACTCGTCGGGTAGGACGAGAAGGGCAGGCGGGAATCAGCAGAGGCGTGTGCGGGTCGGGAAGCAGCTCACGCATCTATTGTTGCTTCCCACTCGCCCAGTGGCGCCAGAGGTGCCCATCTGACGAGGAGAGCACGCGCACCGGCGGGGCCCAGGCCAGCCCCGCGCAGCAGGTGTCCTGTCCCCACCTTGCGCCACCTTCCCCCCCTCGTCCGACCTGAGGGAACATCGTCGTCATGGGAATCGGGTCATAGCTCTGACGACCTACAGGGCAGTTTTTTTTAATACATGGGATTTTTAAAATATAGGATTTGAATACATGATCAATGTATGAGTAAATAGATGCATGAACGCATCGTTGGTTTCAATACTAAACCCCTGCAAGTGTAATACATGATCCGCACGCGGAGCATGCATTGAAAACGGCACTGTACCTACCAGGCCACCCCAACCCAACCCGAAGACCCGAATTTCGGGTTGGGGGTGTACGGGCTTCGCATGTGTGTTTTGCTGTTTCCCCTGTTCCCCGACCCCCCCCTCCCCCACTTGGAAGGGACGGCAACGTTCGGCGGTGGACAAACCTCCCTTTAGTAGACCTCCCCTTAGTGAACACGGCCTGGGACCGAAACCGACGGACCTGGACCCGCAAAAATGACGGCCGCGACGCCCTCTCGCGAACCGAAAACGGCCAATTCCTTAATCGACGTGTCAGGGTAGGAGGTCTGTCCACCCCCGAAACGTGGGGCCTTCGGATTGGGTTGCAACGGTTTGGTGGGTGGTGAAGCTCGGATCTCTGGCGGCCGCTCGGGACGATCCGGGCACCCCCACAGAACGCCCTTGGCGAGGCGCAGCTGCTGAAGAGCACCCCGAGACTGGAAAAGCGCCTAGGGCCTAGACCAGACAAGAACGCCCGCAAGCGTCCCGATCCTCCTCCTCCTCCTCCTCCTCCTCCTCCTCCTCCTCCTCGCCCCACTCTCCCCATCGCCCTCCTTCCCCTCCTCCTCCTCTTCCTCCTCCTCCTCCTCCTCCTACTCGCCCGACCCGATGTTCCCTTTCGCCCAATGCGATTTTCCTGGCAGACTCTCTTTTGCGGCGGCCGGGTCGGCGCGCCTACCAAACTTGAACGACTGGCCACGAAGAAAGCGTAAAGAAACGCCCCCCGTCCCCCCTGGGGCCATCTCTGAGCCATCGTGGGCAATCTCGGGGCTATCTTGAGGCTCCTTGGGGCTCGTCTTGAGGGCGTATTGGGGCCATCTTGGGGCCTCGTGGGGCCATCCTGGACGGTATGAGCGGCATCTGGGGGCCGTTTGAGGCCACCTTGGAGCCGTCTTGGACAGCTTTAGGGAGCCCTGGGGCTGTCTTGAAGCGATCTTGGGATATACAGCCGACAACCTGATCCAGAAAATCACATTTTAAGATAGCTGGCCCAGCTGCCCGGAAAACAGACCTGGGACAACTCCTGGTGCTAATGCTGGAAAGGCGAACGTGCTCAAGAAACCTGGCCAGCGTTCCGGCAAGTTGGTTAGGAAACGCTGGCCCAGCTTTCCCGGAGGAGTGCTCTCCATCAGATGCTCGACTGTACTCTGAGACCAAGCCTCGGACGTGCGAGAACACTGCAAGCCTAACCCCGTGCCCTCAATTATCACACCCTGGGGAAAACAACATTTGGGGATCCGGGGGGGGGGGGATCATAAACACTCGTCTTAGTTCGGGCGTGTCCCCCCAGGGGCGGATTTTGGACGAACTATAAAAAAAACCAAAAATGCAAAAAATAGTCGAACAATCGTCCCCAATCGTCCCCAGACTATGTTCTGACTATTTTCGCACACTCCTCCTGCAGAGGGACAGGCCCGACCCGACCCTCGCCCCCGGAAGCTCGGGACGTGCGGATGCACGGCTGCACGGCTGCAGGGAGGACGTCCCTGATCGGGTTAAGCTGCTCGTTGAGAGTAGTCCAGAAGTCGTCGGCTGTGAGTGGGTGACTGACGGCTGCGCGCAGACGTGCTTGCTATAATAGATGACGCTGTGCACTGGAATCCCTGACATCTTCGAGCCCGTCCCTTTCCATGCAGAGCGCACCCCGCCCAGAGAACCCCCCCCCCCGGCCCCGCCGCGCGGCCGTGGCCCCCTGGGCGTGCTGCCCCCGGCGGCCGCCCCGCCGCCCCACGCGCCGCAGGGGGGGGCGCGGTCCTGCCACTGGCGCGTCGCCCCGTCGGTGTCCTCGGGCCGCGCGCGCCGGCCGCGGCGGCCGCGTGGCGGCCGCGGGGCGGCGCGGCCCTCCACTGAAGGGGCCCTGGGACACACAAATAAATACACACAAATAAAAGGGTTCCCCATATTTTCCCATATTTTCTGGGTTCTTGTCTTCCCCGCCACTTCCCATAGTTTCCCATATTTTCTGGGGAATCGACGATTCATTGCGTCCGTGCGTTTTTCTCCTCCTGATCCACGGACCGTCCTGGACGGTCCAAGGTGTACACCCACTGCCTGGAGGCAGGGAGGTCGGAGGCCAAGAGCACGGGCTTCACTCGAAGCGTGCTCTTTAACCGGCAGCCCAGACCCACACCTACGAGGAGCAGCTACGAGGGAGAGGCGCTCCTAGAGGACGCCCAGGGCCCGGGCCAGGCTCTTGACTTTCTTGAGCGGAAGTCTGGAGCCCACGAAAGTTGACGCTGTCCCATACGATTTCGGATGGGTGCACGGGAGAGGTCAACACGGAGCTTGTCGTCGTCTTCGACCTCTGGGGGGCCCTCGCTGGGCCCTGGGCCCTGGGACCGTCAAAAACGGGCCCTGGGGGGAGTGTCGCGACTTCCGGGGGCCCCGCGTTCAAGAATCCGCCGCCGCGCTTGAAGCGGATGTTGTACGGCGGGCCTCGTCGCGCTTTGCGAGGCAATAAAAATATCAGCCCCCCCCCCCGACGCATCGAGCCCAACAGGCACTCACTTGTGTGACCAAACCTTTGCGTGTTTGGCCTTCCATGAAGCGAACTGTCCCGACTGCAAAGGCTGGGGAAGGGGGGTTCTGTGGCTCCTGCCCCGATGGCCCCCCGAAGCCCCCCCTCCCCGCGCCCGCCCGAGCGCGGTGGCGGACTCGCGCGGCAGCGTAATTGGACAAGACCTCCCATGTGTGGGCCAGCTTCGAAGAGATCGAAGAAATCAGACATCCCATGTGTGGGCCAGCTTCGAAGAAATCGACGAACTCGACGTAATTGGATAAGACATCCCATGTGTGTGGACCATAATTGGCGCTTCGAAGAGATCGAAGCGACCGGCTTGTCGTCGTCTTCGGCCTCCTGAGGCCCGTCTCGGGCCCTCGGGGCCGCGGGCGCACGACCCCGGGTGGGAAGCCCGGCCCAGGGAGCGCTGCTGCGGGAACGGCGCTCGCGCACCGTGCCGTGTCTGGGCTCCCTTCGGGCCTCGCTCCAGGGCGGTGCGTACGGTGCATACAGGGCAGCTTTTAATACATAGGATGTTTAAACATATAGGGTTTATTACTAAGTGACTAATGTATGAATAAATTTACGCATGAACTCATCGTTGTTTTGAATACTAAATCCCTTCATTTTCAATACATGATCCGCACGCGGAGCATGTATCAAAAACGGCACTGTAGTCGCTTCGACCCTGGGGGCCGAAAGACGAGGCGCCGTGCGATCCCTGGGTCGAAGGTCGACGGCGCGCGGCGCCCGTGGGGGCGCCAGCGCGGTACGGTGCATGCAGGTCGTCCGTGGAGGTTCTGTGAGGAGGCAGCGCCTGCAGCTCGCGCCAGGAAGCGCAACTGAGGAACTACCCGGAAGCAGGTATGAGGGCAAGGACTCAGCCGCATGGAGCCGCGGGACTGGGCCGGCTTTCGACTTCACGGATGTGCCAGCGCCGATTATGAATTCAGCCTCCCAGAAGTGAAACCTCACTTCTATCAGCGAAAACGCCCTCCTTGATAGGGGGGAGGCTAGGCTTAGGTCGGGCATGTCCTCCTACAGATGGATGTTGGAGGAAACATAAAAAACTGTCAAACCATGTTCCAAAATGGTCAAACCACATTCAAACATGGTCAACAATCAGAGTGAGGGGGCCGAACGGTCATTCATTGTCCAAGGGTGCGCGGCTGAAGTGAGAATCCGTGGTGAGGATTATGCTTGTTGCGTTGTTGCTGTTGAATGCGAACTAATAAACACTTGTTATTGTTGGACACCTTAAAGGCGCTCTGGCGCTCTCGCCGAGGCGCCGGCTACATTTTCATTGAGAATAAGGCTCACGCTCGAGCGGTTTGGGGGACGCCAAAACCGGCCACAACAACGCTCCCGCTCGAGACGTCCTCTTTGTTTACTCAGGGCTGGTGTTTTTGCTCCCGCTCGAGATTTCCTCCCGTTTTACCTTGGACTGGCGCGCTAGTCTTCCTCTCATCGGCGCCGCCCCCAGCAAAAACAACGCTCCCGCAGAAGGCTTCCTCCATTTTTTACTCAAGGCGGTGCTCCTCCTCGCCGCCGAAGACCGCCGCCCCGACAAAACCAGCGCTCCCGCCCAAGACTTCCTTCCGTTTTACGCTGGACTGGCGCCCAACTCTCTTTTGCATTGGCGCCGTTCCCAGCAAGAACAACGTTCCCGATCGAGGCTTCCCGGTGCTGTTCCTCGCCGCCAGCAACTCCCGTCCCGACAAAACCACGGCTCCCGCTCGATGCTTCCTCCCTTCATACTCAAGGCGGTGTTCCTCCTTGCCGCCGAAAACCGCCGCCCCGACAAAACCAGCGCTCCCGCCCGAGACTTCCTTCTGTTTTACGCTGGACTGGCGCCCTACTCTCTTTTGAATTGGCACCGTTCTCGGCAAGAACAACGCTCCCGCTCGAGATGTCCTTCCTTTTTCCTCGGGACGGTGCTGTTCCGTGCTGTTCCTCGCCGCCGACAGCCCCCGTCCTGACAAAACCACGGCGCCCGCTCGATGCTTCCTCCTTTCTTACTCAAGGCGGTGTTCCTCCTCGCCGCCGAAAGTCGCCGCCCCACAAAACCAGCTCTCCCGCTCGAGACTTCGTTTTGTTTTACGATGGACTAGCGCCCCACTCTCGTCAGCATTGGCGCCGCTCCCAACAACAACAGCAGCCCTACTCGAGAGCTCCTCCCTTTCTATTCAGGGCCAGGTCCTTGCCTCACCGCCGACAACCCCCATCCCCATCAAGGCAATCCTGTCGTTCGATCCTTCCGTGTGCTTTACCCTTCGCTGGGGTTCCATTGGCGGTCTCGCATCGGCGCAGCAAGGCGCGGGCATGCGTTTTCGAGGCGAGATATGTTGAAAGTCCTCGGAGGAGGTGTTTACAAGACCTCATTGGGCGGGAGATCTGGGAATGGGAATAACGGACCCCGCTATAGAACAAGAGTCCCCCATTACGTAGATAGTCATCATGATGGTCGCATGCTTCGTGAGGAAACATCGCGCATGAAGGTAAACTGACTCTTGTTGTTATTGTTCTTGTTCTTGTTGTTATTGTTGTCGTCGACCCCCCCGCGACCCACCCGCGACCCACCCCGCGACCCAGCCCGCGACCCAACCCGCAACCCACTCCGCGACCCACTCCGCGACCCACCCGCGACCCACCTCGCGACCCATCTGCGACCCACCCACGACCCACCCCGCGACCCACCCGCGACAGATCCACAATGTTTCGAAGAAAAGATCGGCGCCTGCGGCGGGCTCGTTCTATAAGTTGTGAAACTTTAGCGCCTGCGGCGGGCT